ATCACAAAAAGTAGACCCCACCTGCTCTTACTTGTTCCTACCTCCACTGGACTCTACACTGTCAGCACAAACCTTCAGGTGAAACAAACAAACCAAGCAGCTAAAAAAATCACCCATACTGTTACTTTTCATCCAGATCAATGAAATTTTGCCATTAAGTTTTGAGACTACTGCCTCAAAAAGAATTACAAATGCTGTTTGGATGCTGTTTGCAAAGAAGAAACACAGGCTAACAGAAGGTAGAAAAGGTCTCCAAATTGTGGAACAGATCCCATAAAAAGGATGTCAACTACTTCAATGCATAGAAGAAGTTTTCCTGAAGTGACAATATTTCCCACTGCATGCAGAACAAGACTCAGCACAGGGTGCCTTACTGCAGCTGTCACTACCAGTTGAAAGTATCTGAACAAGCAAAGTTTTGGAAACACTGACCAATGGTTTTAGGCATGTCTCTCATTAATTTTAGATCTTAATCTATGGCATAGTTCAGTCCTAATTTCTGAACAAGTTTAGCATGGAAGAGCGTTTGCCTGAATTCAATATGCATTTCTACAACTGAACTGAATCCATTTCTACAGGAAATTATCTAAACTGTGTATAAAACTATTAATTACAAAGAAACAAAAAGTATACTGTCAGCAACCAATTTGAACATATAACTGATTGCTTAATTTAGGCTATTAATATAAAGGTGTAAGTTGCTTTTGTTTAATTTGCCTTTTTTTATTAGTTTTAATAACTCTGAAAGAAAAAGATTGAAATGAACTCCTCACAGGCCTTCTTGTTTCTCAAGTCTTAGAACAGATCTCTCTTTATTCAGGAACTAAACTACCAACACAGCCCCATAAATTCTCATTTGATTACCTTATAGGAATTTTTATACTTAAACTAAATTGTTAGACAAAAGGTTAGGAATCACAGTTCAACTGTTAAGTGCATTTTCAAGTTATGATGATTTTTGCCCCAGCCTAACTAGCATCATAATAATGATGCCATGGTAAAACAAGAGATTCTTCTAGTTAGTACTTGTGTAAGTTTTTGTAAATAAGCTCTTAGAAAAGAAATGAATGGATATTGGAAGCACTGCTAGGAATTTCCTCATATTACAGATTCTTTCATCTGAAGAAAACAGGAAGCAGTAGTAGCAGGGACATCCTGTCTTTGTTAGGTTATACTCAGATGCACATCCTCAAATACATATATCCTATTAATACAGAAGAAGAGCAGTCCCTGGAAGAGAAAGAAGAACTAAATCCTTTCTTGTGGACTTTCAATCCTGCAGAAAGGGAAAAGTGCTACTTTTAAACAAATCTTCAGCATTTTCTCACTATCCTGTACTGAAGTAAAAAACAATGGTATTGCTGAATTGTATTTCACAGTCTTGACAGATGTAATTTGCTTTGAAAATTACTGGAGTGGGGGAAGAACAGGAGCCTGCATATTGGAATGTACAGGACACGTGCAGGTGGATCACAGAATCCCAGAGTGGTGTGGGCTGGAAGGGACCCCAAAGAACACCCGGGTTCAACTCCCCAGCCCTGCCAGGATGCAGGCAGGCAATCAGTATTGCAGGCAACCCTGCTTGTCCCTTCCTCCAGCACAGTGCCACTGCTGGAGCGGTGAAGGAGCCTCATTGTGCTGTGTGCAGAGGGAAGGCAGGAATTCCAGGAGGGGAAAGGTTCCCTTTGAAGCACATGGCACGGAGAGCTTCCCAGTGACCATGGCAACAGCTCAGTGGGTTCCCAGCCTGAGAACCAAGTTACTACAGCCATGCCTCAAAAACAAAAAAAGTCTGAAAGAAGGAGAGAGGGGGAGGTGGGCTTGGGGGTGTGGGGGAGAGGAGCTGAAGCAAAATTAGCCTGGCAGAAACTGAGCGGCTCCCTGGTAGGCAAATCCAGCCAATAATGCTGCTCGGGTTCACGGGGTTTCCTTTTCATTTCCAAAAGCTTTCTTCTTCCTCTGTCATTCCCCTCCTAGCCCTATTCAGGAGCTCATAAGATCAGTAAAACCCAGGCCTTTGCTTTGCCTGCATGCAGCATGGCCTCAAACAGGACTGCACTGTGATCAAAGGTAATGGTAAAACACAGCTGCCACACACACTCCTTGCCTCAACCAAGGCCCAGTTTCCACAGGCACTCCCCTAACAGCAGAGACATTTTTTTAAACACTTTCATTTCCATTACCTCATATAAAGAAGGACAAGCAATGACTAAGAAGGATGAGCAATATCAAAATCAATATGAATTACAAATCAATATGAAAATTACAAAATCAATATGAAAATGGACACATTAAATTCTGTATAGCTACCTCTGGATAAACAACTAGAGTAGAACTTCTAAAAACACAAGCCAAAGTTTTACTTCAAAAAAATCCAAACAAACATACAAAAACACCACCCCCCCTAAATCAAAAAAGACCTTGACAACCAAAACCAACAATAAGAATAAAGCCATACAAAACTTTTTACCAGATTCATGTGCCATGCAATTTACCTCTACAGCTTTTAACTAGCCTACATTCTGCTTCACCATATTCCAAACTTTCAACAATATCACCTCTATGATGTCCCACCTTGGGGCAGGTTAAATCAAACTTAATGAGGAACAAACTGTAGGTTTGCACTCCTTGACTGCTTCGTCCTTTTCTACATGGAAAAAATTCCAAGTCCTTTCCCTGTTCAAGACCAGCCCTCCCATATTTTCCTTTCTTTTCCTTCCCTTGCTCCTTTCCTTTTTCCTTTTCCTTCTATTTCTCCTCCTCTCTCTCTCCCTCCCTCCTTTCCTCTCCTCTCCCTCTTCCATTCCTTTCCATTTCACATTTTCTTTTAAGTCAGCTGCCAAATCCTAAAAATAACCAGAGGAAGACACATATACACATGCAGCAGGTTTGATATTTACCCAGGCAAAATAATTTACAGGCCACACTGAATCCTCACATAGCAATTTGTGTATCAAACTGCATGCAAACTGAACTTTTCAGAGACCCAAATAATCACACCACAACTTATTCTCACTGGTGTGATAACCAGGCTGACTGAACTGATAAACCTGAAAGAAGCTCAGGGCTGATGCTCCTGATGCTATCTGCACTCAACAATATTCCAAGAATTCTGAGAAGTCCTTCTAAATCAGGACATAACTTGAGCAGAGTGAGAACTGAGCAGAAGGGTTGCCAGCAAAAGAAGGAGAGGAGAAACCACAGCAGAGAGCATGAAATAGGGAAGAAATATTTCAGGAAGAGAAGAAAAAGTAGAGAAAATACAGAACAATGAAATGCAGTGCAGTATTGACTAGAACCTTGGCGAGACTTCTTTCACCTGTTGAAATTGCTACATATAAACTGACACATTTGGAACTCCATGCCCTAATTCTCTGGACACACCCTATGTCACATCACCATCATTATGCATCAAAGCAGATGCTACAGAGCTCCTGAAGCAAAGGCAGAGTCTGCTGCTCAGCAGGCCAAGCTTTAGGAAGCTAACATCAGCAAATGCTGAGCTGAACTGATTCTGGAGATGGGTGTGGCTTTGGGGACATGGGGAGTATAGAGGACATGGTGGGATATGGGCACACAGCAGTGGGCCAGGTATAGAATTTTAACTTTTTTTTTTTTTTTTTTTGGTGCAGGGTACCTATGGTTCAACTTCCTTTATCCATTTTGCCCATCTATTTCCTCACATAATTTTCAAGAGCCTGACAGATGGGACTGACCAGACTCCTTCCTGAAATGGCTTGCCTCAAGATTAAACTTACTCCTGGAGTTTGCTTATGGATCAGTATGCATCTTTCAGGACAGAATCTTCTCTAATTCCCATCCTTACAAGACCTCATCCTCAGATTTTATCTTTCTAAGAACTAAGAAGCAATACCTAGAATTTCTGTGAAACAAAGACAGTTTTCCAAGTTAGAAAAAAAAAAAAGCTGTATTATGCTGAAATTCAGTGGAAAGGGAAGACACTTCTTAAAGAGATGTTTTTCACCATGTACAAGTTAAACCTGCAGCAACTTCTAGACAAGCAGATGGCTTCCCATTTCCTTAGAAAGGTGAAGTTTTTAGAAGTTTTGTTTATAAATTTACAGAGCCAAGTTTTACGTGAAAAAATGTCAACCTGCAATTTTATTTTCTGCTTGTTACACTGCTAACCTGAAGTCACCAACACAATCCTACCAAATTCAGGCAGCTGGATTTTAGGATGAATCCCTGTTATGAACCAGTTTTCAACTACTCAGTTGCTGGTAGAACTTGTGGCCTGTGCTCTTTCACACACTTTCAAACCCTCTAGACTTCAACTGCCAACATGAATAATCTCAATACTCAAAAATTCTAAGGCATGAACAAAAAAGAAGGTCACCTTTCTGCTTTCTTTTTTTAACATATCTGGGAGCAGTAATGGTATGTTAGTGACTTCACCCCATAAACAAAGAGACAAGTTTTGTACTTAATTTAAGATCCTAGAGGCCCCATTCCATGGTGAAATTCCAGGATTATGAAAATTTCTAATTTTTTTGACCAGTACAATCAAATTCACTTGTTATTAGAGGTATCTATCCTGAGATTAAAGTGAATAAATCTTTTAGGTTAGAAAGCTTCTCTTTCCCCAAAAAGAGGAAATTATTGTACATATTCTCAGAAAATTGTGCCTGAGGAAAACCAGGAAGATGCTTTCCTTTTGACTGCTCTGACCAAGTAAGAATCCCAGTTGCAGTTCACCCCTTCTACTCCAATACTGCTTCTGCTAAAAAGCCATTTTTGCTTTCATCTTTGTTAGGTTCCTACAGAGCTCAAAAAGGGAATGCTCAGCTCCCCATCACCATCTCTATCAACTGAGTCAGGACAGCATCTTTCCCTGAAGTACCTAGAGTGAAAATAGGCAAAACAGGAATATTTTGTGGAGTAAGGGGGGTTTTCCTCAGTTTATTTCTTCCCGATTTTTCTCCAGAAGGAACTAATCCTTCCAAGAAACATTCACATGCAGCCCCAAACTGTCCCCTTACCTTTCCTAAGACCGTGAGGCATGGCTTAGGCTCCAACTCTGGCTGTTCCAATTTCACCACTCCTACCCAGCCATATTCATACAGATCTTCCTCATCATTGCTATTACACAGTCCAAGTGGATGCATCTGAAACAGAATCAAAAAGAAACTTTTAGCCAATCATTAGAATTAAAAACCATACAGACATAAAAATAAATAAAAAATAAATAATATATTAAAAGTATATTTGTTTTAAGTTAACATACACAAAAAAAACTGAAATGTAAGGCTGCATATGTGAAGAATTCAGTAGGTTTCTGAAGCATGCCATGAGTACAAAATCTTTGCAATTTTATGAAAGCTGTCATCTTGCTTGTAAGAAATTATTTAAGGTTAACAATTAAATGTGATTTTAAGTCCTTTGTTCAGATATAAAATTCTTAACTACAAAGCCCCCCTTGGTATTGCAAACGACCTTTCCTTGCAAACTGACAGAAACAATACAAACTGTTTGGCAGAGTCCCTTATAAAACCTTTACACATCATTAAGATCCAGACCCCATGTTTCAGAGCCATTATCACCTTTTTTCTAAAATAATTGCACAGTATTAACATGCTGTCATCCTTTGAAACAAGCCTGTCATGTAAGCCAAAGTAAGATACAAGAAACTTCCTAACCATTGTGAAGCACTCTCTATTGTTTTCTGAACCCAAATGATGTGGGGGGTAAGGCTATCATGAAGTGAGAAACTTTAGTCTCCTTTCAGACATTCATGTTTCTTACTCTAGGCAACAATATGTCTTTGTTTTTAATTTCAAATATTTAATCTGTTCCTCCTCCTTCCAACACTTTGTGTAGTTACTCTAATTAGAGTAGTTACTCTAATTTTATTATGGCAAGGAGCTTCCTACACATCGTTTGTCTTTTCCAAATTTGCTGTCCTTAGGATAATATCTTTGTGTATAAACTTTGTATAGATTGTTATACATCTCAATTCTTGTACTGTATACTGTCTTCTCCTTGTTCTTTTTCCTTGGATTCTTTTCACAGACCTTTGCCTGTTTCCCAGGCTTTAACGTATATTCATTGCAAAAAAAGTCTGTACTTCATCCACTTTAGTGTCTTTCCTTAAATCTTAACTTTATCAAACTAGCTGAAGAAATCCACAAACTGATACCAACACTATGACAACTCTGCTTTTTGGTAGCTGATTATAATATGAGGTGATTACTGCTCAATAATTTACATATATATACCCCTCACTAATCCATGCAAAGTAGCACCATGTAATGGCCCCTAATCCTACCATCACTTCTGCATCACCAGCTTGTCGTTTTGTCCTTTTCTCCTTTTCTCCCATGTCTTGTACCCTGACTTCCATTTTGCAAGTGATACAATACATGGAGTGCTATTTATATTATCTTGTGGGGCCCTAACTTTCTGAGTAACTTGGGTGATTACTGTAAAATATGGGAAACATGACAGTGAAATGACACAATACAGGGATTTTCCGACCACTTGTTATTTTTCAAGATTCATCACCAATCCACTCCAAGAAAAAAAACAAGCCACACTGTACTAGGTAGGCTCTTAATTTAGCCTTTCTCCTTTTTTTTTTTTCCTAAATGAGTTACTATCACACACTGCTGAGCTGTTTACCATCTCACATGGATGAGCAATTTAACTTAGTGCTAAAAGCTTGGGGGAAGTACTATCACTGGAAGATGAACCACTCCATAGTCTCAGTATCTGCTGGATAAACTCTTCAGCACAGACATAAAAACAGAGGATGGGGTCAGGCAGAGTGCTCTCTCCTAAACTACCAGGGCAGATATACCAACGTAATCAACCCCACAAAGAGTCCATGGGATCCTTCAAGCAAACACAAAGCTTTAATCAATATTAAGCATCTAAAGAAAGAGAGAACCATTTCCTTGATGCAATTCCCTTGACATAGGGTGTATCAATCGAGCTTTGAAACCATAACCCATATCTAAGAAGTTTCTAGTTCAAAATCCTTGAAATATGCTGGGGCACTTTGCACATGCCTAAAAGGGTAAAACTGAAACCACGACTCAGGTGCTTTTATCCAAGGTTACAAAATCTGTATACATTGCTGAGGGTCTAAAATAACTTTATAAAGAACCGCAGCAATTTTATGTGGGTTAGTGTTACAGGGCAGACAAACATTAAACCAACAGATGAAGAATACTTTGCTCTGTAACTCTATCACCTAAAAAGTCCTGATGATTAAAAGAGAACTTTCACCCTTTTGCCCTTTTTTTTTATGTCTGCCAGGATAAGGCATTATAGTATTACAAAGTGATGTATGAACAGCTCAGGATCTTTCTACACACTGTCTCGTGTATAGAAAAGCTCTGGTCTTTTTTTCCCAAACACAGAATAAATAACAGCTCTACCCACTTCAGTGCAGAGAAAAAGGACTAAAGAAGGTAGAAGGCCAAAAGAACAGAAAATTCTTTCCACTGCCACTTTCCTCAGGAATACTGTTATTCTGTACCAGCTTCCAAGTGTGAGTGACCCTCCGGATCAGACTCACCAAGCACACCCTGCAGTTTTGTCCCTGGAAATCAGTATAAACCTGAAGCTGAAAGAGCTTCTTCTCTTCCTTTTACAAACACGTATTAAAGACACAGAAAAAACCCAGAATCAGCATCAAGGCCAATAAGACACGGGCTTCAATGACAGAAAACTTTCTGTCCAGAAAAGCACTTCACCACTCCAAGCCACAAGTAGTTGGTAGGTTCTGCTTGCATACCACAAGCTTACATTGTAGTGATCTCTGTAGATCATGACAGATAAAATATACTGTAATTTTCCAAACCAGAGATATCAACTAAAAGTGCAACAAGACCATGTGAATTTAAGAATTCAAGCCTGAAACACTGGTGTTACTTCTGATTAGGTGCCCACATGGAATGAAACGCCATTCACTGGGCTGATGGCGCATATGACACAACTCATCCAGTGCAAGTGTATGCCATGTTCTCACGGTTTCCCGTCACAACACAAGTGAATTAATCACTGAATCACAGAACACAATAAAGTAAGCCTAAATGAAAATATTAATCAGGCCCAGGGAGGATCCAGGGTGTTTCTCAATCCCAGACATCTTTTACTTTAAACAAGCTAAACAAAAGGGATGATGGACAACCTACAATGGCAACAATAAAACTAATTATTTTCTGTGAGGTGGAAAATTATCAGTAGTTTCAAACTGTCACAGTGAAAAGCAAATTCAAAACACTACAGTGCACAAGCCTCTAAAAAGGAGCAGAACTATTTAGTCTTTTTGTGAAGACTTGAACTCTTTATTGCTGTACATCCTGAAACAACAGACACTCCATATAGCTTTCCCACCTGGAATGCACTTGGCATGGATTCATCCCTGTCCACATGAATTCACATTCCTTCACTAGACAGGCTTTTGAAATAAAATTTATGAGGTTTTGCAGTGCTCAAAAGAAAACATAAAAAATGAGTCAACCTGAACAGGAACTCTATCATCAGGGAAAGCTTTCTCCCAAACCAGGTGTAGCCTCTGGTAACTGAAAGGAAGAGAGTTCCTTTCCTGGCTTACCCCAGGTGCATGGAAGCATATCCTGATAACTCAGTTCAGACTTCGGACACTTTTGGTTACCCAGCCCCTCAGCATCCTGACACCACTTCCAAGCTCTAGGTCTTGTTTCCTTCCTCCAATCCCTTTTTCCAGGGAAGCTCCTTCTAAAGGAAGGATCCAAAATCTGAAGTGTATCAAGACTCAAGTGAAATAAGGCAACCAAAACATGTGTTTTACAGGAAGCAGAAAAACCATTAGTATACCTCTGCTGGGAGTTCTGTAGTAAGCATCTCCCCTGTCAAACCAGCCTTACTAAACACAAAAAGTGACTTGAGTGTTCACCTTATGCTTTATCCAAAATGCAGTAAGTCACCAAACAAATTTTTAATAAATAACAACAACTTCATTCACCAAAAAGTACCAGAGGATGCAGTGTCTGGTTCAGAGACAATCCAATATTTTGATGCTAGATTCACCAAAAGTTAGATGGAATAGACATAGAGAAAAAGGGGCACACTCAAAAATACAGAAATATTCCTTGGAGATGCAGAGAACAGGAAAGCATTAGGAGCTCAAACTGGCAAGAGATGCCAAGACTGACAAGTATACTAACAGCAAGAAAAATTGTAAACAAGAAATGCCTGCTGTTGAACGGGGTTGGCACAAAGCAGTAACAAAGCAAGCAACCAACAGCTGCAAGGAGGATGGAGTTAGGAATCATCCATGCAAACCTGGCATAAGGTGTCCAAGGAATCAGAGGATGCCTCCAGATACCTAATTAGAGCTGGCTGCTGTAATTGCAGCATTGAGGTCTATTATTTTTCACATGGCATAGAGAATAGGGGACGACCCCTGATGCCAGGAGAAGAATGCCACACTCATCTGCAAAATCCAAGAAGACAGATCTGGGAAAACTATCTCCACTTACTCTTCTGTATTGGCACAGCAAGCCAATTTGGTAGCAAGCCAATTTGGTTGCAAAATCCAAGAAGACAGATCTGGGAAAACTATCTCCACTTACTCTTCTCTATTGGCACAGCAAGCTGCTACCAAAAACTGATTAAAGGTTCCTGACTGCAATATTCCAACCCAGCATTACTAAGACTTCACCAGAAATAAAAGGCTCAGGCCTTAACTTCCCTGTGTCATGCTGTTTGAAAAAGTCTTCAGTAGAATGTGCCATTTCACATAAGCAATCCAAAACTGTACAAATAGGGGGAGGAATTTTTTAAGAACTAAAGAGCAGGGTTTTTTTAAGAAAAGTTAGGCATTGCTATTGTTTCTGCAGCCTCATGATAAAACATGAGGTTTTTTATGCTGGCTGCAGCTGGAACACAGCAGCCTTTTTAGAAAAGGTGAAAGCCAGAAGCATTTGCCCATCACTCTGCAGCTTTGCCATGCAGAGAAGAATGTTTATTCCCCAGCACAAGTAGAAAACTCCATTAGAATATGGTTTCTTTTCTCTTTCAGGCACATTTTTTTTCTGTTTTAAAGAAGTACATCCTGCAAAAAACCAAACTGCCACAAAATGTAACATGATACGACCTGAGCATTTCAGCAGGGCGC